GTCACTTCTTACGACAACCACGGCACTATATAGCATATGGATATTCTTACATCGTCACTACATAGTTATGAAAGTGACATAGAATTTTAATACGTTAGTTAAGTAATAAACGGTTATAAGTATTATAAGTAATATGTAGTTTCAAGTACTTTCTGCTTAATTTAAAGGGAGGTCTTTAAATTATAAAATTTTTCTAATATTCATTAAAACTCAACGACTTTTCCACTAATTAAACACATCGTTTCAACGGTCCATAACAATTGCTTAACCATCTTATAAATTTTCGAGATCAATTTGGAATCATTTATTCAAAAATAATATACCTTTGTTTTCAGTTTCAAAGTATTAGCGTCTGGTCAGTAAGTTTCTTTAGACATTAATTTATTGTTGTTTTGTTATTACAAGTGATTATTAAGCACCTTTAAACTTTTTGAAGATAATACTCGTAGGTATTATTTCATCAAATTCAAAGTCACAAATTTTTGTAAAACAAAACTTGGTTGATAACGTTAAAACTGCACCGGTTCCAAAAAACAAGACCTCAAGAAAGAACTGGCAGGAAACTCTGATCTTTTTTATATTTTTTAAATGCTTTGCTACAATTCCATTTACAGCATATATTAAAATATAATAAAAGCAATATATTATGTCAAATGTATATTAATATTTTTCAATGTTACAATATACCTATGTATTTATAATGCATTATAAGAGTAAAAATCTGTAATTTGGATACTCAATACGAGTGATATCGGGCATAGTTTTCTTTAAAGCTCACCGAGTGGAAATAAAGTTTTTTAAAGAGCCAGCGTTAAAGCCAGTATTGCCAATGATGACTCAAGGAACCACGTTACGTATATATGTAAGTCATCACTGGCCAAATGCAGTGTTTTTCAGTGTTGCTTGAGGAATATAAGACGGTACGTATATCTACATTATGTGTTTGGTTACCCAATGATTTACATAATTTTTTTATAGAATAAAAGTTACAATCAAGCTCACAGCCCATCTGATGGTAAGTGGTTGCTGTGGCCCATAGACATCTACATCTATTCTCGTTTATGAATCAAAGTGCTAATGCGTTGTCACCCGTGAGGACTGAGATGGAATGCCTCGTTTCCAATAAAAGGGGGTCTCCGGTTCTCTACACTCACCAAACGAAACACAGCAGCATTAAGCTTCTTTTTTACGCAGGTATTCTGTGAGAGCGTGCCACGACTATGAGCACTCATGTCACGGCAATGAGCCGAAATGCGGTTACACGTAGCTTTAGCCGGCTATAACTAGATACCGTTGAATTTGATTGGTTTAACTTTTTTTTTATCCATGGCTAAAGTAAGGTCGGTTGGTAAAACAAGGTACAATTAATTCCAAAAAATAATTTAAACGACTATAACTTCTATTAACTTTGTCAAAAATACGACCACTGTTCAGTTTATCCAAATTATGAAGGTGCATATCTAGTATACTCAGCAACTATAAGTTAAGGTGCGAATGATTTTTCCATATTTTTTATAAACTATTGTAACAAATCGAATACACCTAAGTATACGCAACGACAATCGAATCTAGATATAGCCGGTAAAATCTAGTTGTACCTACCTTTGGCTTGTAGCAGTAACATTTTTTTTATAGAATGAGGGTGACAAACGAACACATAGTCCACCAGATGGTAAGTGGATGCTGTGGCCCATAGACATCTACATTTATTCTCGATTAAGAATCAAAATGCAGATGCGTTATTGCCCCTAAGGACTAAAATGGAATACCTCGTTACCAGTAAAAATTATCTCCGGCTGTCTTCACTCACCATACGAAACAAAGCATTAAGCTGCTATTTTACGCTGGTATTCTGTGAGAGCGTGGTCCTATCGGTCGAGCCGACCCGTTCGTGCTACAACCACAATATAGCTGCAGCGTGGTTCTGGCACATTGAACATAATATTAAATATTATTTAATTGAATACTGAGAAATATTGACCGTAACGGTGTTACTGCTGAATAAGTTTAGCAGTATACTTGTGATGTTCTGTAATGATGATATTGAAGTTAAAATCAGTTGCTATGATTGATCTTTAGGTCTTATAATTATTACACCTTGCCGTAATTTATATTGGATAGATTTTTAGATACTGGCTTATGCAGATTTATGATAAATATATGCATTAATAGTAATCTTTGACGGCAATCGCTCAATTGAAAATTAAAACAATTAAGTAATGACATTGCTAATGAATCAACTCGTCATTGTAAGCGTTAGGACACTCAAATATATTAATTTTAGCTTTGCATGTCCATCTGTTTATTACTACAAATTGCACTTATATAAATAATTGAGTTAGTTTGTACCAATCAATACCGAACTGGATTACCGTGTAATTAGACTTTACGAGTTTAGTTTTAATATTCAAAATTAAAATTATTTTAGACTTTAAATGGTAATTATAATATTGTTAAATGAACCAATTGGAATATATTAATTGCACTTTTATTTAATTTATTTACTGTATTTTTTTCATGAAAGAATCCAAAGGTTAACATTTATTATTTTCATGATATTTTCAAATTATCAGAAGGAAGACAAGGGACCACACTGTTAAAACATTAAATGAAAACATGTTACATATTAAACTGATAATTTGTTTCAAGGAACGTTAATAAGCTCCTAGGAACTACAAAAGCACAGAGTATAAAACAATAGAGGCAGCAAATATTTAACAACCATATTTTTTAAAACCAAGACGTCAAACGGTGCTTTGTCAAATATGTAACTAGTGTACAATGGTGCAAAAATTGCTCTAAGAAAATATTTAAAAAAAAGTTCATGCTTTTTTAATTTTCATGCCATAAAATAATAACTGTCATATATAAATTATCTTTGCAACATTTTGTGCTTGAGCATTTAATAAAATACTAATAATATTTATAATAAAGGTCATCCAGACCGAATTTCGATAACGATGACCAGTCTTAACGGAGACTAGCCATCTGTGTAGGACAGATTTGCACACAGGATTTCACATAGGTGAACTCTCTGTTCTCTCACTCTAACAGTCGGATGGGACGGATATCCAACACTACCGAAAAGAGATCAGGTGCACGACCAATGGCTTTTCGAGGCTCGAGCTTGAAACACTGTCAACTACCTGACTCCGAGATATTAGTGAAAATTTCCAAAAAAAAAACTGTAACTAATTTTGAGCCCGAATTCATATTTGAAACCGGGACTACATGATCAACAGTCGTGGTTAAAATCATTAGATCAACGAGACAGTCAATAAATCTGAATAAAAACAAATAGTGTATTATTTGGGAAATAATACACTATTTGTATACTAACATGATTGCTATTAAATAAGTTTTCCAAGAGGCATCGGAGCTCTTCCTTGCCCCAAAACCCTTCAGGAATGAGGGGTAGGTTAGCATACAGTTTACCCTTCATTTTGGGTAAACTGTATACTTAGGTATTAATTGAAAGAGCTATGGAAGAAACTGATGGAAAAATTTGGGATGTGCAAGCTGGATTTAGAAAGGGGATGGGGTGTACGGATCAAGTCTTTTCCATGCGCATGATTGCCGAGAAGTTTTTGACCAAAAACCAGAAAGTTTTTTGTGCGTTCATGGACTTGGAAAAGGCTTATGACAGAGTGGACAGGAATGTGTTATGGCAAACACTGAACTCATTTGGGTTGAGCGCTGGCTTGATACAGGCATTAAGGTCTCTTTATAGGGACTCCAGTGCTTGTGTTAGGATCAATGGGGTCTACTCGGACTGGTTTGGCATTCATAAAGGTGTCAGACAGGGATGTGTGGCTTCCTCGTGGCTGTTTAACCTATTTATGGACAGTTATTTGCAAACTTTGAAAGTTGAAGAATGTGGGTTGAGAATGGGTGAGTTAACCGTCAAATGCCTTTTGTACGCCGATGATCAAGTCATATTTGCATCGTCGGCAGCCGAGTTGCAAATGATGGTTACTTTAATGAACTGGTCATTGAAAGAAAGGGGTATGAAAGTGAACGCAAGTAAGACGAAAGTGATGGTTTTTGAAAGAGAAGAAAGTAAAACGTTATGTGAAATAAGAATAGAAGGGGAGTTGATTGAGCAAGTGGATGAGTTTGTATATTTGGGATGCTTATTTAGCAGGGATGGTAGATATGATAAGGATATAGAACGACGAGTGAACGCAGGAACTAGAGTGAATGGGGCTCTACACGCTATTATGAGGAGTCAGAATGTGTCAAATAAGGCATGTATGGCAATTCATAATGCTGTGTTAGTCCCTACTTTAATGTATGGTAGTGAATGTTGGGTCTGGCAGAAGAAGCATGAGAGTAGAATAAATGCTGTAGAAATGCGGTCCTTAAGGAGTATGTTAGGGCTGAATCTGAATGACAGGTTGAGAATTAGTGTGATCAGAGAAAAGTGTGGTTTGCAAGATGACGTTGTGACAAGGATTAAGAAATGAATGCTTTGGTGGTTTGGTCATGTAGAAAGAATGAACGAGGAAAGAGTGACAAAGCAAATTTATGTTTCAGAAGTGAACGCCAGGGTCGGGAAGGGACGCCCTAGACGAAGGTTTATCGACCAAATCGGCGATACATTAAAAATGGACCAGATTAGGAGTACCCTTAACCGACGAGCGTGTATGCGTAGATATATGGATGTAAAGGAGGCGAGAGAGGTGTGTCAGGATCGCGCCAAATGGAAGTCCGTAGTCTCTGCCTACCCCTCTGGGTGACAGGCGTGAGTATTTGTGTGTTGTGTGTGTGAAAGAGGGGAAGTCCCGTGCTTAGCAGTGAAACGTATTTGGGCTGTAACTTCATTCTGTTGTCAATTAACACATTTTATGCTACCATACAATTGAAAATAACTCGTAACGATATAGGACTCTTTTGTAACCTTTGACAATATTAAAAAGTAAAATAAAGAATATTTTTAAGCACAGTGAGAAACATGCTGATAAAGGCATGCTTACGACACGCCATCTTTTACGACATACCTCCGCGTTGACTGCGCCACCCGTTGACTTTCTCAATAAGGCTAGAGGCCTTGCTACCTCTATTGTTAATTCGCTGCTCTGTGGATCAGATATATTATGAAACTTTGGAATAGTCAGATTTAAAAAATTTATGTCTTTTACTGAAAGGATTTTTTAACTCAAGTAATGAAAAATGAATATTGACACTCTTTTTACCTTTTTACTAACTCGCTTATGTGTATTAATTATAAACTTACTTCCCGATGAGCCAGAGACTTGAAATTATTAAGATAGTTTAGAATGGGATGACAGTGTAAGAATATGAAGAAAAAAATCGTTGAATATTTAAAAAAATAATACATACTTTTGAAAAATTTCACGTCTTTCCATTTATTACTTATAAAACCCCAAATACGGCATCTTATTTTAATTCCTTTTAATGCTCTATGCAATCAAATAATTAAAAGCAATATAAAGAAAGTGTTTAGTATTATTAAAATTGCATGGAAATAATAGCAATTTTAAATTATAATTATTCATGCAGACCAAATTATTAAGAAACGAATTCTCTTTAGCGTATCTTTTGATCTCAAGAGGAAATAATTATTATTGTCATCATCAACATTTATCATTACAGCCAATGACAAGCCCACTGCTGAAAGTAGGTCTCTCCAAAGGACCATAAAGAACGGTACTAAGTCACCTGCATTCATCGCTTTGATTTTTTCCTCTTACCAAATCGTCAAAGCTGTTCTGAACAGTCAAGCTTTATTAGAAGAATAAAAAATAGAATAACATTGCTCCCCCGTAGTAAAGACGTAATATGAATTTAGTTCTTAAAAAACCTCAGTAGTTAAATAAAAATAAAAAGCTGGTTATATTTGAATTTGAAATATTACTTTGTTAATTCAAATTGATAAAAATTCAATAGAACAGCATTAGTTGAAAGGTTCAAAGATGCTGCATTAAATAATGGAAGTAGAAATCGGCTTTATGTGACAAATTGATTCAGATGTATTGTACATTCTTTCATTGAACTGTATTTCCGCAATTCGCGCAATTTCTTATATTGAATTGTTAACTTGTAACGTCGTAAGCTGCTTCCGAGATGTCTTAAAGTAACAATTTATCGTTCAGCACTGACAATAGAAACATCTAAAGGGCTTTCTGATATTGTTCTTCACGTTGAAAACTTTGGTCTCTAATTTTACTTTGCCCGCCAGGTAATAGAATTTTCTCTTTCAAAGGCGCAATATTCACAATTTAAACTTAGTTTTATTTTAACGTCTACCTTAAAGTCTCTATGATTAGGTTCGAGGTAGATATCACTTTCTCACCTATTTAAACATAACATAAACACTCACGCCTGCCACCCAAAGGGGTAGGCATAGAGCATGGACTTCAATTTGGCACGATCCTGACACACCTTTCTCGCTTCCTCCACATCCATATTCCTACACATACACGCTCGTCAGTTAAAGGTACTCTTGATTTGGCCCATTTTCAATATATCGCCAATTTGGCCGATAAACTTTCGCCTAGGCTGACCTTTTCCGACTCTGCCGTTCACCTCTGCAACATAAGTTTGCTTTGCCACTCTTTCCTCATTCATTCTTTCTACATGACCAAACCACCGAAGCATTCCTTTCTTAATCCTGGTCACAACATCATATTGCACACCACACTCTTCTCTTATCAAACAATTTCTCACTACGTCATTCAGATTCATCCCTAACATACTCCTTAATGACCACATTTCTACAGCATTTATTCTACTCTCGTGCTTCTTCTGCCACACCCGACTTTCACTACCATACATTAAAGTAGGTACTAACACAGCATTGTGAATTGCTATACGTGCCTTTTTAGCCACATTCTGACTTTTCACAATAGGGTGTAGAGCCCCATTCACTCTATTTCCTGCATTCACTCGTCGTTCTATATCCTTATCATATCTACCATGCCTGCTAAATACACATCCCAAATACACAAACTCATCTACTTGCTCGACCAACTCCCCTTCTATTCTTATTTCACATATCGTTTTACTTTCTTCTCTTTCAAAAACCATTACTTTCGTCTTACTTGCGTACAATTTTATTCCCTTTTCTTTTAATGTCCTGTTCATTAATGTAACCATCATTTGCAGCTCGGCCGCCGACGACGCAAGTATGACTTAAGGCCTTAACAGTGGTTGAAATGCCTAAATCTAGGATATTTAAGTAAAAAAATCTCAATAACTGTTCATTTAATCCACAAAGAAAAAATACCGGGTAACGGAAGAAGATTTGGTAAATGTTTTTAATTTAACAAAATTTTATTTTTGTCAACCCCTTATTAGAAAAAAAATCCCCAAAGAGTACCTATCTTTGTCATATTTTGCAAAATTTCTCCAAAACGGCAAAAGATTTTTAAATAGTTCTTACACTAAAAAAAAGGTCATAAAAATATTAATATTTTTAATTGAGAGTTTTATTTTTATTACCCGTTTTATAAGAGAATATATCATTTTTCCCTGAAATTGAATATATTTACGCGAGCGCGCATGCTCCGTCGCCATGTAAGCTCTGTCACAGTCCGTTTTCGGACATCGTCGAGGGTGGACCGCACGTCGGTGTTGGGGCGACTTCGTTCAAATATATATTAGTTTTTTAAAAGTTTATACTCAATTATAAATATTTTTATGACTAGAAATACTTAATTTAGTTAATATCTGTACACTGGTAACTGTAAATATTATTTTCTAAATAAATGAATTTTTAAAGTGCCCAAAGAAGAAGAAATTTTTGCGGCGACGTTGATTAGTGAAATTGAAAAATGCATTTTTATATAATTTAGATGTGGAACGACGAACATGCTCTCGTTACTTAGATTGCGATAGTTTTTAATACCTATGTAATTTTATTGTTGCATATTTTTATTAATTAGTTGATAATGAATTTTATAATTATGTATTACAATAAAACGCTGTTTTTATAAGTATGACTTTATAAAATATTATTGGGGAGAGAAATAAAGATACAGATACTTACATTTAGGTACACAGTTATCAAATTAAATCAAACTAATTAAATAAATAAAAGAATGCTGCTTACCTAAGTATAAATAACTATATAAAGACATTCTTGGGTTTATGGTTTTTTTTTTGTTAGACAAACTATCATCTAAAAAATGTAAAAATTTTAAATTGGAGAGGGGTTTCTCTACGTGATAAAGTTAGAAATGAAGGAATTTGCATTAGAACCAGAGTAACTGACATAGCTCAACGGAATATTACAGTGAAATGGCAATGGGCTAGCTATATAACTTGGAAAACATATAAAAAATAGAAAGAAAGGTCCTCGAGTGGCAACCTCGTACAGGTAAGCGAATTAGTACTCAACCTTTATTCCTCTTCACGTATTCTCATTCGCTTTTCTTCACACATACACACACACACAAATAGGTCGCAAATAATACTTACCTAGTACTATTAGGCAAGAGTGAATAGGTTTTTGTTAAGTCAGTGCAATTCACCATCTTAGACTACATAACCACTTACCGATGGGATTGTAGTTGCTTTACTACTTGCTGGGTAAAAATAGTAAAAAAAAATTTACCCTGTGAAAGTTTGCATTTAGATATAATTTTTCTAACCAACCAAAAAAAATATGATGAGAATATGTATATAAGTATAAAGGTTGCCTCACACGGAGCAGTAATAATATAATATTATATCTTCCATTGTCTCTGAAATCCGAGGTATGTTCATATTAAGAGGCTGAATAGAGCCACATTGAAATACATGGGGATGGTTTTGTAATTTCACGTCATTATCGAAAAAAAATTGTACGTATTTCAGGTGGCGGTTTTCAAAACACGATTCCACAAAAATTAACTCAATAGAAAATAATTGCAAAGTTGCTTCTAAAATTACATAAATTTTCAACGCCAATTTTTTTTACGTGGTAGAGCCATGCTACAGCTATATTTATTAGGTATAGTTGTAGCACGAATGTGTTGGCTCGACCGGGGAAGGGCCACGCTCTCACGGAATAACATGTAAAATAGCAGTTTAACCCTGCTGTGTTTCGTATGGTGAGTGTAGATAACCGGAGGACCTTTTTACTGGAAACGAGGCATTACATCTTAGTCCTCACGGGTGACAACGCATCTACATTTTGATACGTAATCGAGGATAGATGTAGATGTGTATGGGCCGTAGCAACCACTTACCATCAGGTGGACTGTGTGCTCGTTTGTCACCCTTATTCTATTTAAAAAAAACTTTCTGAGATTTCAGTAAAATAATGTTAAGTATTGTAAGCACTCGTACAATTATGTCTCATGTTAATAAGGCTATTGGGCTTTGATTTGTAATAAAGTGATTTTACTTTATAGGTTAAATAATTTATTTACCTTTCTATATCAAGAACCGTTTTTCTGTCACTCCTATTGAATTTGACAGTGCTTGCTGAAATTTAGCATCTTTAGATGGATCAGAATCGTGCCCTGAACCGGGTGTTACATATTGCAAAAATAATCGAAAATATTTATTTTTACTTTCATGCCGAAGACTACCTTGTTTTATTTTATTACGCTCAAATAATATTTATAAGGTTATAAAGCAAGTATTTTTGTAAATGTTTTGTATGTAAATGTTTTCATTATTTTGTTATTCTATTGTTTACGGTTATTATCACGTCTTAGCTTTATACCAAGAATTACATTACAAATTCTTGATGGGATGCGATGTAACGCGCATACATTATTTTCATCAAGAACTATAATATATATATATATATATATATATATATATATATATATATATATATATATATTTGTTTTTTTTTTTACCAGTAGAGTTTTAACAAAATCTTAAAAAAGTTCAATGAATTAAAAAAATGCCAATAATTATATAATTTCAAGTCAGTGTTTTACATTTAAAGATCAGTTATAAAAAGCCAATGTTATTATTTTCATTTTGATTAATTTAATTCGAGACTAAAATGAATGTGAAAGGGCTTTTATCTGCAATAATAATTTTCATCAAAAATAACATAGACTTATAAAAGTCATATACACGGTCAATCATACTGAAGGTTATCAATTGTACTACA